ATTCCTACTTATTTTCTTTTCAACAGAAAGGCATTAAATGCTTTTCCTTATCTTTAGTTTTCATTTAGCAGGTTAAGGAAGAAGACATATATACACTTGTTTCATGTGGACTGCTTTTGTTATATTTAGTTGTGTGGTGTTTTGACTTCCTAGTCAATACAGGCTCATCTTTATTAGAGTCACTAAAGAAATAAAATGTATGATAAATTGTATGCCTTCACTACATATTTCAAACTACTCTGGGACTAATATCTCTAAAATATGAGTTCAACTTTGCCATTTTAATTAAATTATTTCTTCTGTTAGGTAAAAAGAATAAGGAAGACGAACCTGTTGAGTCCCATGTGTATGATGATTTAAGTCTTGCAAATACAGAAATCAGAAACAATTCAGCCATTTCAAAAATTCATATAAAAGTTTCTCCCAATGAAATTTGGGAAGATTGTAATACTGTTTTGCCTTGGAATAATGTCAAGGATCAGGCTCAAAGAGACAGTGATCACATTTTGCTCAAAAGAAGAGGTATAATTTAATTCTCTTTTTCAGTCTAGCCCAGTTAAAGTGAGGAAAGAGAATAATAGAATTGTAGACTCGCAGATGAGAAGGGACCTTAGACACCCTCTAGGCCAAACGACCCCTAAGCAGTTAAACTCAGTTAAGTTCTAACACATGATTGTTAAGTGATTCTTGAAGATCCCAGCTTGCTGCAGCTTGAAGATCCCAGTGATGGCAAGCTCTTTACCTCTCTACTTTGGGACATCTAGTTATTAGGAGGATTTCCTTATAGTGTGCTGAAACTTGTCTTTCAAGTGACTTTCACTAACTTCTGCCATCATTCTCGTTCTACCATCAGAAATCTAGTTCTACCACGCAAAGCTGGTGAAGACTAGTCTAACTTCCAGGTAATAGCTCTTTATATCATTAAGGTCCCCTGCACTCCAAGTCTTCTCTTTTCCAAGCTAAATATCTCAGGTTGCTTCAATCAATTCTCTCATGACAAGGGTTCTCACTCCCTTCACTATCATTCTGATTGTCCTCCTAAAAAGCACTCCATTTGTTATTATTTTACCCAAAATATACCATCCAGAATGCAACACAATACTTCAGACATGTTCTAACAATGGCCAAGTTCAGTGGAACTATAATAATCTCCTTCATGGAAAATGTTATTTCTCTGTCAATGCACTTAAGACTACATTATGTTTTTTACCTACTTCATCATACTGTTGATTCACTGACCTTTCATTACAATCCAGATACTTTTCACATG